TTTTGACATACTTCTGGTGAAGAAAACTCGTTTCTTCATCCACGCTGTTGACTTTCTCGCGCGTCTGTACCGAGGAAAAGTGGACCGCGTAGTTCAGAAGTCATCACACGCGGTCATCGTCTCGGCACACATGCGTGCGTCACGCGTGTACGCACGCACGCACGCACACGTAGCGGTCGTTATTATTACCCCAACAGTAATCCGCCTCGAATCCCTAAAGCCCTAAACGATCGATTTGCTCCTGTTGCACTGCTCCGTTCGCGTCTCTCATTCTTCATTTCTTGTTCCACCACGAATCCCCTCGGCAAGGTGTTCGTAATGCGTCCTGCGATCTTTTTGCCACGCAATTTGCTCTAATTCTGATTTGCTCGTCTATAAGAAACCGCCTTAAATAACCCGCCTCTCCCATCTTGCGCCAACGAATATCGGTTATCTCCTGCAACCTATGAAGCGTGTTCTTCTTGTTACGATTCACGATTCATCTCACGGTCGAAACGAATCATAAGACGGTCGCGATCCTTCTTGACTCACGTATCGGCGCCGTCGTTGCAAGAGTCTTCCGCGTCAACGTTTAATTTTCGAACAGACGCGCAGGTATCCGCGCGAGTATGAACGTGATAAATATCGTAAAAAAGCGTGCTCGTAAAACTATAAACCAGATAGGAGTCTAGCGCCATTAAATCCCAATCGGATGCTGGGGACTTGAAGCGTTATCGTAATATAACAATGAATGACATATCACCCTCAGAACAGTAAAGACGCGTGCCTTATCTCACAACCGAGGAAACGGTTACACCGGTGTCGGTTTTCGGGTAAAGTATAAGCAAAGAACAATAATCAACGCCGATGGAAAATCAATTACAATTCAAGCGAGAGGAGAAAATTTCTTTTCTTCTTTTTAAGAGAATCGTGAATCTCCTCAAGCGTCCGTGTAATAAATGCACTTTCTCCGATGGGCTTTAACCGGCGACCGCAGCCGCACTCGAACCCTCTCGTTGAGCCTCGGCGATGGCTTATCAGGCCGTATCTTGTACAAACACGTTCCACCTGGTCACGGACAGTCGCGCGGCCCACGCCATTTTCTACCGGCGCTGCCCACGTTGTTTCGTAACGTTTCACAAGACCACTTTATCTCGTACGCTCCGTCTTTCATCTTACGCCTCCCTCCCTCTCCTCCTCCACCTCCTCCCCCCCCCCCCGCCCCTTTTCTCTTTCGATAGATGGGCCCGATGCTTCTGTGCGCTGGTAACCGGGAGCCGATGCCGGTGTAATTTCGGCGAGGGCAACTTTTTGCGCCACGCGTGAGAAAAAAAAAGAGGAACCGGTATGAGCCTCATTTCTGCCGTTATATTTATGCCGAGCGATTTATCTCGCTACCATAATCCACGGGCGTAACGTGCCGTCGCGTCTCTCGCGAAGCACCGAGGCTACGAGCGGCGCGCTCCTCTCCCTCTGTTTCTTTTTTGCCTTCGCGGGACGGACGTCGTCCGGGCGAATTGCGGAAACGCAGGTATCGCTCTTTAGGCAGGAAAACAGTTGCCGATTACAGTCTTTTTCGCGTACCGGCTCCAATTAAGGCTTCGAATCGAGCAGGAAGAAAGCGAGTGTATCCCCCGCTGATGCGATACCTTCCTTTTATTTCGTAGATAATGATAATGGGTGTCCGTCGGGCGGCTGATTATAGTACTCTCAGCTGATTAGCTCGCTCGATCTTTTCGATAGGTTCCCTCGTCGCGCAGGATTCATCCAACTTTCCGAGTCCACGCAAACGTGCGCCGGAGACGAGATTTCAGCTTTACGCGCGTTCGCTCTTGACCCGAGATATGTGCTCCACCGAGCCGATGGACGATAAACTCTTGAAGGCTTAGCGACTTCAGCTCGTGCACGCAGAATGCACCGAGCGATAATATAAGCGCGAAATGCCCGTCGATCCTTTACGGCGCAGCCGTCTCTCCCGTGGATCCTCTTCCATCGATTGATCCCCGAGGTAAACGCGATCGGGTTACCCGTGGAATTTCTCGCGCGGAGAACTCGGGCGGCGTCCGTAATCCGGGCTTACGGCCCGCGAGATGCCCTGGACGTGCTTTAATATGATTTAAGCCCACCGTCGTGTTGCACGGGCTACCGTGTTACGATCGTCGGGCTTTTCTCCTCTCTCGCCACGGCCTCCTCCTCCTCGCTGGACCATCCGCGCGGCAGTCCTTGAGGAGAGATCGCGGGAGCGGCAGGAAGAGGGGGAGAGAAAGAGTGAGAGAGAGAAAGAGGGGGGGGAGACAGAGCGAGCGAGAGCGAGAGAGAGAAAGAGAGATGGGGGGGGGGGAAGATACCTACACGCGTGCGTACACGCAAGAAAGTGGCGTAAAATACGCAGGCGAGGCACGAGTTTTTGCCGGCACTGGCCGACCGATCGCCTTTGAATTTTAAGCGTTACCCGTTCCGCGAGAGCACGACGACGAGAACACCGTTGAGGCCCCGGCGTTGCGAGAGAGCCGGTCGACGATTGAATATCAATGTCTTCTCGTTCGCATCGACGCGAAAATATAACATTTTATGCCGCGAGCTTATTAGCGACGATTAAGCCATAAGATAAGGTGTTATTAACATATTAATTTATGTATTCGCTCGGAGATTCTTGGGCGATACCAGCCCTTCGAACGCGCATATTTGCGTCTGACAATTACTATCGGCATTGACCACGGATACGCGTTTCACGATTGCCCTCATTTTCTTTTTACGCATAAAAGGAAAAGAGACACTCTCCATCCTCGGCGTCGCCGCGAGCCGTTTCCCGTGTCGTCCGTAGCTCAGCCTCGGACTCAAAGGGTTGACATTACGTAAGTATCGCGAGAGGTCAAATTACGGAGCACGCCACGGAGGACGTTTAGCGGCGGTGCGTCGGTCCACGTTCGGGAACCTTGTCCGAGGGAAGTGAAAAATACGAGTCGTGTGTCGTGCACGTCTGGTCCGAGTCGACGAGACGAGAGAGGATCCGCGAAGTCGCGGGGACAGTCGGCATTGTGCACCTCGTTTCTGGTCCACCGCTCGTTGCGCATCCCGCCCTTCGCGTCCTCCTCACCGCGTCCCTTTGAGGACGCCCCGCCGCGGCGAGAGAGAGAGAGAGAGAGAGGGGGGGGGGGCACGGGCGACGCACACACCAGGTACCTCACTGCCGGGGCCCGCGCGCCACGGCAAAAGTGACAAGGCCCCGGCAATTATAACGGATGGCGCAAAAAAATGGCGCCGCGGTACGGATGGCCGGTTAGGGCCGACCAGCCGAGTCGGCTACCGTTTCTCCCTGCCCCTTTCGCCAGGAACCTTTAACTGTGTATATCGGGGAACCCCGATGATTAATCGCGGGTATCGCGGCAAATCTCTGCCGTCAGTCCGGAGTCGACCGAATTTGTTCCAAGGCGGCATTTGTAAGGGACGGGACGGCGATGTACATACACACGTGTGAATATATGTATGTTTACGTGTATTATACGTATGTCACTCTTAATAAGCGCAAATCGAGAATGTTAACTTGAGAGCGCGGACGCGTATTCGGGTGAGGCAGACGACGGGGCGGATAGACAGCCGATAGTATTTAATTACTGATATTAGTAGTCTGGCGCAGAAATTATCGAATGTATCGTGTCGAATCGAGAGACTCTGTTTCTTTTTTTTAACGTAATCGACCCCGAGGCACCGACCGCGGGGGCAATTCCGATTTTTCTCCTAACAAGCGAGGACTCGCGCGATAACAATCGTTCCCGCCGGGCGGATTGGGCTCCGCGTACGCATGTGTGATTAATTCTGATTCTCACAGAGACCCCGGCGCCATTGTAGTCGGCCGGTGTATACGCCGGCCGCGATGTTAATCGTAATGAAGAAGCGTAGATCGTTCGCGTTCGCCTTATCGTTGAATCGCGAACGCGAATCAATTATGCGTGGTAAAAATACCCGAAATTCAAGCCTGTAATCAGCGCGAGCAGCGCGGGGGCCCCCGGTTGTAAAGCCTCTAATTACAAAATTGCCATTTAACCGTCCGACGCCGATCGACACGATCTGCGGCTTCCGTGGAATTTTCGAGACGCTATAAATAATCGGAGATTATTTTTGACAAGATAACTCCGCGACAGAGGGTAGTAATTTAAACTCGACATTGTGCGGCGTCATTACCTCTTGCGAGTTACCTATTGCGCGACAAAAATGTAGAGATCGCAGGCATGAATTAAGCGCCGACTTTGCATTCTCTTAGGACCTGCCACGTAATATCCTTTGGCTCCCTTGGCGAAATCGTATAAAGAAAGGCGGACGCGACTTTTGAACCGTAAAAAAATGCAACATTTACTGCGGGGATGTAATTAAAAATGCGGCATTAAGCGATGGGTCTTTTACGTAGGGAAGATTCGGATTAAAGTCCAATTTGTTTAAAGAGATCGTTAAGATTTAACGCAGCAAGACGAGACACGCCAGCAAGTCAACTTTATATACGGCGTAATTACGCGGCGTTCGAAAGTCGTGTCGTCCACGGTTTTGGGACTGGTGCGCCATCTAGCGAGTGGGAGGCGCAAGCGGCTGTTACTTTGACACCTCGAGAGTCCGCCAGGTGACGCTCCATGTTCAAAAAGCGGATCTTCTTTTCATTAGATCGACGAGACCTATTGTAAAACTGCTGTAATGGCACGAAGCTATCTCGATTTAGATGAAACACGATTCTAATGAACAATAAAATTTACGTTCTCTTCACGTTTGCGTTCTCGCGCACGTTGGTCGCGCGCGACCAAAATCAGGATCGTGCGCGTGTCCCACGTAGCGCCGAAAGCGATAAATATTCATCGTTACCATTTTATTCCGTCGATCGCGCGAGTGAAACGTTCGCCGGTGAAAACGATATTGGAAAGGGGAAAGAGGAATGTGACCTTTCGAGTAGAAAGAGAGAAAGAGACGGAGAGAGAGAGAGAGAGGGAGAGAGGGAGAGAGGGGGGAAGGGAGAGAAAGATACGATTCGCACGCAGCAAGGACAATTACCGGTGCCGTCAAAGCAGCGACTCTCTTTTCTTTTAACCGAACGAATTACGCTCTCTCGTAAATCGTGCCATCGTTTGAAATTCACTCGTCGTCGTCTTCGATATCTCGGAGTCGAACGTACTTGCGCAAGTGCCGCCGCTTGACCAGTCGCGTGCAAACATGGCGGCCGGCGACGCTCGCTTTCGCGCCTTTTCTCAGCTGACACGACCGACGGGCGCACCAATGTCAACGGGCACGAAAACATCGCCGGATCGGCGGGCGTGGAGTAACGAGCCGATATGGATCAGAAAGCAAAACGGATCAAGCTGTCGAAGGAAACAGCTATCGCCGAGATTGCGTCGTCTATCGGCAAGTTGCTCGAAATGAGAATCTTTATCGTGCGATTTTTGTGATACAAAGAATAGCGAGGACGGGAGTAAAGTAGCGGAACGCTCGTTTTTTTGTGGGGAAATAATTCGCGGACAATTGATATTCGTTATCGCGAGTCTACTGAAGATTCTGTGGCTGTGGCTTTGTACATTGATATACATAATTTTTGTGCTTTAGACGACGTGGCCAGTTCCTTGAAATCTATCGCCGAGAGCCATAGCGAGATCCTGCAGATAAACACGACTGTCGTTGAATACTTGCAGAACCGTGAGAGACGTCGGAGAGCGATAAACCAAGGTCCAGAGGCCGCGGAACCAACGGACGTCGAGGAAGAGCAATAGGTTATAATGAATAGGTTATAAACTATATTCGCGTCCACTTGTATTGTAATATTAAGAATTTTTTGTTATAACATGACTTAGATGCAAATACTAATTAACGAGTATACGTGATGGAATCGATGGTCCCGCTTGTGTGTTACGTTCTAAATATATTGCTGTGTGTTGTGCAGACTTGAGAAGTAACGCGTTACTTGTGTTCACCCAGAAAGACATAGGACCGACATATAGTTCTGATTTCTGACTAGCAACTCATTGTAGACCGGGCCTAGAAGACATCTTTAGGATGGCATTCAGTTGTCTTTTAGACGTGCACATCTAAAAGGTGTCTTAACGATATCTTTACGACGTCCTTTAGACATGCACTGCTATCTGGAAAGTTATGGTTACTTTCTTTTGGTAACGATAACGTTTGGTACATTTTGTCAGTAATGGTAGCAAATATTTAACAGTTACTTTTCAAATTATTTATGACAAGTTTGTTCTTGTACCACGTTGGTAGATTAAAGCCCCAAGAGAGTTTCTAACAAACTTATCGTGTCAAAATTTTTAAACATAGAATTGAGGATACAAAAAAGTGTAAATTTGGGCGTATTTATAAATTTAATCAAAATCTTTTACTTGCATTGTGAGCATAAAATCTGTCCCTTTAAATGTTTTGTGTCTTGCAATTTTAAATATAAAATTTTATTGTCTTTATTGCTTTTGTGATATTTTAACACAAAAATATTACAAAAGTACATTCTTTATTTAGTCTGTGATCTCGTCTAGCATTAAAAAAGTAACGGTAACGTTATTTTTAAGAATTAGCAACTAGTACCGGTAACCAGTTACATTTGGACTCGGTTAACGAGCCACGAGTCACGATAGTTACTTTTAAAAAGTACCTGCCGTCTCTGATATACGCGTATAAGTAGGGCAAACGACAAGTAATTCGCGTGTCGAAACGTGACACTAAATACAAAATAACTATGATATAAATAACACTGACAAGATCTTGCGGCGGTCACTTTCCCTCGTTATATCACAATGTCTCTTTACCTTTATTCAACAGTAAACACACAGTTTAGCACGGAAACGTCTTGAAAAGTTCGACGTTCTATAGTTCTATAGTTCGGTGGTGAAATTATAATTAAGACCGACAGACAATCGGCGCGCAGTTTACCGAGTTGGAAAAGGTATAGAAAATACACACAGAAATGTTGTTATTAGACTACCAAGATCCAACCCGCCCGAAAATCTTCCCTAGTCATTTGTATTAGAAACGAGGGGGAAACCGCTGATGGCATTGTGGTGTACAGATTTGCGGCATTACTGGGCATTAAATGAAATAAGATAAAACGAGAGAAATTAGATAAAATAAGATAAAGTAATGCCCACTGGGCATTAGTGGGCATTGGTGTAAAAGATTTTGGTCGGCGATTTCCCCCTCGATTAGAAATAACTGTTTAGAATGTAACTTGTCTTGCCACCAAGTCGCAGGAGTGATATTTGTTCGTTATCGCGTATGTTGCAAACACGGCAGACAAATGTTCGTTTCTACCATTGCAGATTAACTTGAATCTCGGCTTAAATTACTTGTCACCTTTTTCTAATTTTTAAAACTAGTAAAAGATATAAAGTGAGTTGAACCGAGATGAAAATTAATCTGCGTTGGTAGAAGCGGGCAAAAAACATTTTGCATAATTTGCAACGTAATTGTGAATTATGATAAAATAGCTCAATGGTAAAACAATTCGACTCTTCCAGTTCCCAGGCATGCAATTAATAAGGCATCCTCTATACGAAATAAAGAAATTAACAAAGTAACTATAGATTCGTTTTAGCAGTCTTGTAATCCGTCGCGCGTCCGTCTGAATTCTCGTCACTTGTATTCGGGATCTTCCTTGGGTCTTCTTCTGGGATCCGACGGGTCCAGTGGGATTATCACAGGCCGCCTGTTTTCCGGCCGACGATTAGTGAAATTGTAATTCGTCAATGCGAACCTGTTTACCGGTCTAGACAACATTATTGGTCCGCATCTGGAACACATTTTCGGTTACGTGCCATAATTACGGAGCATGTACTGTAAATATCGTGCCAAATTGCATTGCGAACTGAGGTGCAGGGCATCGTTCACGCAGGTTTTTCGTAAAGTTCTGCCGGTTCAATCGTTACTTCCTAACGATTTCTTTATAAAGCGGCAACCATTGTTAGTAAGATACAAAACATTCCACTTCCATAGTGTGTTACATCATAGATGTTAGTTAAATATATATTCGTCGCATGAGGTATACGTCGTTTTAGTTTAATGACTAGACAATGAGGGCAATTTTGACGAGAAACAAGTCTCCATTTCGATCATCCGAAAGGTTGGCGAATTACGTCGCGCAAAGAATATGAAGAGAGAAATCGAAAGTGCCTTCGTTCGCGTGCAAACACCTTGTACGAGATGGTAGGAAAGCGCGAACATGGGACGTGGACTCGCGCGTGGCGCACAAGGGAAGAAAGGTGAAAACTTGCAGAAATTCGTGCAGAAACGAAGCGGACGGTCGAGATGAGTCCGGGGCACTTCGGTGAACGAGCAGAAATAAATCCATTTGCGCGTATGATAAGATAAAGTGCAATGAAAAGAAGAACGCCTTATTCCTTTAACAGATATCCCCCTATTCTGTCGGCTCACACCTGCACGTGTTGGGGTTGAAGTAGTAGCCAGTGGTGCACGGCTCGATGGTCCTGCAGGTGCAGACGCAGAGCTCCGGGTTCCAGATCTTCGTGTCGTTCTTACGGCACTTCTCCTCCTCGTCGACGTTGTCGCAGGCGCACTTGCAGTTGTGCGGCTCGTAATGCTGCTTATCGTTGCAGTGCTGCAGGCAAAGAGGAAAGACGACGCGGCGTGAATCATCGACGAAAAAGAATGTCAACACTTGGCACGCTCGGTACAAAACACGGTTAAATTTTGCCTGTCCTCCGCGTTGACACACTTCGCGCACGTTGCAAGGAAGCGACAATTGTAGCAATAAGCGAAATTGGTATATTGAGAAACGGCCGTAGCGCAATGTGGATTGAATATTGTACTGCGTACGTCGAACGTCGGGCAAGTGACCGTACCAGCACACGCCTTTCAGCGAAGAGTGAGAGAGGGAATCTTAGAATCTTTTTTTAAATCTCTCAGATCTCTTTGCATCCGCGATGACATAATATCTCATTGAAACGTCAATCTCGTAACCGAGAGGACGAGCGGGGATAAAACGCGCGGAAAATGATTCACGCCTTTCAAACACCTATTACTTCTGTTTCTAATGTATTTTCGTGCATTGTCCGGGTACTTGGAAGCGGAGCCCGTGTTCCTTTCAGCCGACCGGCTGACGTAAATCGTTATCGAGCGGCGCGGCATGCACAGGTCGCGTGAGAGACAATACGATGGGATGATGTGTGCGAGGTGTGAAGCTCGCTCGCGGTGCGGCTCGGCCCGGTTAAGTAGGAAGGCGTCGATTAACCGCCAATTATCGGTTGCCATCAAATTACCTCCTCCTTGATTTTGCAGTCGCACTTGCACTTAGTGTGCTCCTCCAGCGGCACAATTCGCCGTCCCCTGTAGTTCAGATCGCTCAGCGACGTCACGATCACCTTAAGACCACGCGAGAAACAGAAAAGATGTTCGACAATTATTGCTTCCTCTCAAGCTGGTTGCTCGTAATAGGCGCGTTTTCGTTCGTGCTCTTCAACTCGACGGTGATGGATTACCTCGAAGTTCCGCATCTCCATAGCTGTTGGCTGACACGAGAGCAAAGGGCTAATGCAACAGCCGCCGCATCGTTTGATCCGTGTGCAGAGTGGGAAGACGAACATCGAAGGATCGTCGTCCAGTTTTAGGGAAACCAGTTGCAGCTCGGGCATGCACTTGGCCGGCGTCGGCATCAACGCGTTCGATCGTTCCTCGCCCCCGAATCTACCTGGAATTCCCGTTTGTATCTTGAATGTGATCGGAGACACTTTTCTCTTTCTATACTGCCGAAGGTGCGATATGGTCTCCGGTTTCCATAATATAAAAGTGTGTTTCGTAATACGTAGAAAATCTTGTTGGGCATATTTACTTTTAAGTAGATATGGATTTTTTTAATGTCTTGTAAATGTTTTGTATAGTATGTAGCAAAAGTTCCCGGACTCCCTGTTTGATCATTTATTATGGTGGAATGTGTGGAAGAAAGCAGTAGCAGTTATATACCGATTGATCTCTTGAACGTTCGTTCTGCTCCAAAATAAGCGTTTAAGCACAAAAACCGAAAATTGCGTAAAATCGAGATACGATCTTGCGAAAGAGATCAGTCGATACTGCATAATTAGTGAGAGAGTTGGAATGAAATGATAGTATGTCATTTCATTTACTGATTGCAACAAGATAAAATGGCATATATTCCAATGTTGTGAAGGCTCCCAGAAGAAAAATATATAGGAAGGAGAAGTGCCAATGTGAGCCACAAAATAAACGGAACTCGGGTCTCACAATGTAGAAAGAATTTCTCTTTAATATAAAACGTTTCGACCCTTCTTCGGGTCTTCCTCAGTAAGACTCTTAAATACAATTTAACAAAGCAATCTACGGTTACATCAGCTACGTTAGATGAGTCCGCGGCGACGATATTGGAACAACGGAACGACAATCGTTAAATTGTATTTAAGAGTCTTACTGAGGAAGACCCGAAGAAGGGTCGAAACGTTTTATATTAAAGAGAAATTCTTTCTACATATATTGTGAGTTCCGTTCATTTTGTGGCTCACATTGGCACTTTTCCTTCCTATATATAAAATAGTATGTTATTAAACTGGTACTGGTTTGTCAAAAGGTAAACGAGATCATAAGCAAAGGTGTTAAACTGATATAGAATTTTTTTTCTAAGCAGCAATTATTTTTTTTAGAGCGCGAAAATGACGGACAAACGTGCCCAAGCAGTTTCGGTTGCGAATCATTATTTCGCGTTGGTCGATGGAATGGTTCCCGGTTTTAAGGATCATCTTGCAGAGACCGTAGTACTCAAATGGTTCGGAAACGTGGTCAGGGGAAGAGAAAACGTAGTTGCTTTTTTGATGTCCAATAAAAAGGGGTCTTTTCACACGTTTCCCGACATTACGGCAATTTCGAATATGTCTTGCAAAAGCGAACAGTCGAATCGGTGAGAATATTCAAATTAATGATACATTACGCATACTCACAATTTATCGGTTATATTGTCAGAGTTTACAAGACCAATGTCTTGTTTGAAAAACAACTTTACACGTGCTATTATACGGAAACACAAATTGTATTAAGCAATAGAGTCATTTGAGAAACTGTAACACTTATTAGATAAAGATGGTTTCACGTTGACATATTTTCCGCGTAGGACGATAAAACGGCCCTTGGATCAGAACGCTAACTGCGAAACCTACACGAACAATCATTTACACGAAGATCATGCTTCACACGAGACTGAAATGTCAACGACCCATAAAATCGTAAAAGATTACAATCCGAAAAGCAATGCGAATGTTGCGGACATACATGAAGCAGTTTGTAACGAATATGAATTTTACTCCGAAAAGTTTATAGACGAACTGGTGAAAATATCGGAAAATCTCGACAACGTGGACATCAATCTCGAAGTGAATGAAAATAAATGTAGTGCGAGTGCAATCGCCGAGATGGATGACGTGGGTTATGACGATCTTAACGACAACAATCTCTATAATCTTTTCGAGCCCGAGATTACGTCTCAGCCTATCGTCGGGAAGATACAGAACATTAATAGGATAAAATTGAAAGAGGAAATGGCACCAACCGTCAGAGCCATCAACAGAGAGTACGGTCAAGGAGATGGACCTGTTACTGCTGAAGCTAACGCTACTAAGTACCTGGAAGCGAACGGAGAAATAAAATTTATACGAATTTGTGCAGATTCAGGTAATATTAGAAATAAATTCAGAAACATAATAAATATTTTAATATCTGTATAATATTTGATTACTAATCAGGTATATCTCTAGATTTATAGAATATTATAAGTTAAATTTTATATAGAGATAAATTATATATAAATTATAGAATTAGAGGAATCATTTTAATATATTTTGTGAGCAATATATATATATTAAAAAGGATGTATCATTGAAGTAAATTTAAAACAGAATTATACATTAAAAAATTTTAGATTCTCCGTTCTTATATCATTGGTCAAGACTCTGGAAAAAGAAAATGTGGAAACGACAATGCACTCTGCAGATCGCGTATTCGTCCCTAACCGATAACGATTCGTCAAAAGTTGCTACAAAATGCTACAATAATGCTACACAGGAAAATGCATACCATAATACTTGCGTTTCGAATCTTTCAGCAGATATATGCCAGAATACGAATGAAATGCAAGAAAGCAAATTGCCAAGTTTGGAAGACGCAATTAAAATTAGCGGTACATTAATACAGGATGTAAATCATTTCGGCGGTTACCTACAGCCCTTAAACTTTTCCGAAGATCGCGAAGATTTTCTAAAAAAGTTCGAGGCTGCAATAGCGACAGATAATTCCGAAGTGCATTTCTCTGCACATTACGTCAACAATAAATTGATTTTCAACTCTACAACTAAAAAGCCGTTTAATGTCATGTATCAAATCAATAAGATCGTTTACGAATATCCAAATGCAATGCGTCTGGCACACAAGAAACGGCAGATGCAAGATAATACTATTGCACAAGTTTGCGACTAATGGTGATTACATGTGTTCAGTTAGATAATATTGTCAGCTGAATCAATTGACCGGATACGCTTCGCGAATTTTCATTCATAGCAACAGAACGCTGTTTCCTGTGTTAATCGAGAAACTATTTAATTTTTGCAAGGTTGAAAAAACATGCCAAGCCGAATTAACAATGCGCTCTTTGCGATTAGAAATTCTCTTTTGTATAAACAGGTCAATGCGATTAAAAAATTTGTCGATAATGTACCATTGTACGTACAATGTATAATGTACAATTTATCAATTTGCACAAATTTTCTCTTTTGTATAAACAAGTCAATACGCTTAAAAAATTTGTCGATAATGTACAATTGTATGTACAATGTATAACGTACAATTTATCAACTTGCACAAATTTTCTAAATGCATTTGTTGGCTACAAAATGAAAAATAATGTTTCTAAACGCAAAGCATATTGTAGATCAGGTTTAGGAATTTGTAATGTCTTTTGAGCTGCCTAACATTTAATCCACATGTTCCGCACCGAAAATATCAAAATACAATTCGCATTACGGGATGATCTCAGTCCACATTGATAACTACGCGTTTGTATGAACAACGGAACAATCAAAAGACATACTGCGCAACAGTTTAATTTGTGTTCCTTATGATAAAAGATCTTATCGCAAAGTCTTTATTTGCAGCTGTATAAATTATTAATTTTTCAATGAGAGCTACATAATTGTAATGTATTTAATTGTATTTAATGTGTGACAATAATGGAACATAATCGATAATATTAATACAATCCCAAATGCTTATTTCGCGTCATATCTTTAGTTTTCAATAATTAAGTATAATATTAGTTTTGTTACGATATTTTTATTCAATAAAGTAAAATTGGCAACAAGTTTCATTTGCTCCTTCTTTCACGACAAGTTTCCTTTCAGATCATCATTTATCATTGCATTATTTGCATTTGCACTTAATGCGTAATAAAGATAACAAATCGCAGTAGCGAATTATACTTACTGCTAAACGCGATATCTTTTTCGCTCGCTGGCACACCGTGAAGAAGCTGCATAAATTGCTCCAATGTGTCTATCGAATTTAATCTAGTCGCTAAATCGAGCGGTATCTAAAAATAAATTATTATAATATATATTATATTATAATGCCTAATATATCCTGGAATTCGCGAATCAAAATACCATAGCAAGAATGTCGTCGAAAAAAAATATTTTTTTTTCGCCGACTTCTTGCTATGGTATTTTGATTCGCGAATTCCAGGACACCCTTTGTTAGAAAATAATCTAATCGAAATCCAACGTAATCCAATCTAATCGCGATTGCGATTAACCCTTTGGCCCACAACCACGAGTGAGACTCATGGGAAGGAATTTGGGGCATAAACAATAAGCACGAGCCTGATTCGTGGTACTTTGTTAGCGCGACCTTCCTGTTTACTATGGCCCAAGCAATCGGGAGATAGCGTGTAGGCCAAGGGATTAATACTCCTGACTAATTGCAAGTAGAAAATTTTGTGGTCGAAAACTATCGAGAATAAAGGTTGTTTCAAAATACTCTGTCGATATGTTAACGAGTTTCTCGTATTCTATGCTGTTCAGGAAAATTTTATGTCCGAGACTTGGCAATCAAAGACGATCCATTATGTTTATAAAACTAAGGAAATAATGATTACTGGTTGCTGTATTAATTCGCGGTCAGCAATTTTCCTGCACTATCTATATTGGACAACTGAAAGCGCGTAAGCGAAGATAGATTTAAAATAGAATTTTCTCAAGAACTCATTTAAATTCGAACGTGCACCGAGATCGGTAAGCAACAGACAAACGATAAATCTTAGTGGATCATACGCACGTAATCATAGTTATTTCTTTCCTGAATCAATCTCCTACAATCTCATAAATATTGACTAAAAGAATAAATATAAAATTAAACCCGCGTCGGGGTATTCCCGCGGAGTGTGAATCATCCTGTTCGATCGCGGATACTCGCGATATGCGTGACTAAGAAGCAAACCATGCAGGTGAAATAAATGTCGGTCAATGATCCGCGTTGCAAAGAAAACCCTGATTTTTTGGAGGAGAATAAATTTGCTTCCTTCGAATTGAGTCTTTCTTTGCATAAGTTGCATTTAAATTAAAACATAAGTTTTAGCCAAGCGTTTTTCCGTTTCATGTAGCAACGATCTTGATTTGTAATCTGCCGCACGTTTTATGTAACAAATAAAATGTGTTAATTTAATTCTGGAATATCTCTTTGTTTTTCAACGCTCTCGTCGTTTAAGAATTATCACGTGAGATTCTTGTGAAAGAGAAATTGACTTTAGATTGACTAATATCGGCTGTAGATAAAAGTAGCATGTATCGTGTTTCGGGCATGGCATAGTTTCTCTGTTAGTCATTGATAACCACTTTGAGTGGACGTGAAATCACTACGATATCATGATTTAAACAGGTTTTTAAAACGGTTGAATCACTACTTGTACCATGTATAGATACATACGTGTGTAGCACCTGTTAAAAATGAACAAATAATTTATGCAAATTTAACAAATAGTTGGAGATTAAGTATTTGTTATATTAATCTATTGCGTGGGTAGGCTGAAAAGTAATGCACACATGCTTGTAGAACACGAACAAAAACAAATAGCGAGATCGGGCAAAACGTGTAACAAAGTTTTTTCATTCCGTCACTGAAAAATTCTTCCGACTTTTCTCCAATCCAGGAATTGACAGCTGCCTTCACCTCATCGTCCGAGGTGTAATGATTACCCTTGAGGTCTCTCTTCAGTAGAGGAAAAAAATAAAAATCACAAGACGCAAGATCGGGGGAGTAAGGAGGGTGTGGAATCTGTTCAAACTTCAGGTTTCGCAGAGCCTCTGCAGTTGCGCGTGAGGTGTGTGGACGAGCATTGTCATGTTGCAAGACGGTAAATTCTTCTCAGTACATACAGACTCCAAAACACCTTCGACGTCGAATTCGTCGTGTTAGAGGCAGCCTGGAGCCAATGCAACTGCAGAGGCTCTGCGACACCTGAAGTTTGAACAGATTCCACACCCTCCTTACTCCCCCGATCTTGCGCCTTGTGATTTTTATTTTTTTTCTCTACTCAAGAGAGACCTCAAGGGTAATCATTACATCTCGGACGATGAGGTGAAGGCAGCTGTCAAGTCCTGGATTCGAGAAAAGTTGGAAGAATTTTTCAGTGACGGAATGAAAAAACTTGTTACACGTTAGGAGAAATGTGTTAGCCTTAACGATGACTATGTTGAAAAATAATTATATGATTTTAAAGCTTAAGAGTTGTACTTTAATATACTTTTTGCCCGATCTCGCTATTTGTTTTTGTTCGTATTCTACAAGCATGTGTGCATTACTTTTCAGCCTACCCACGTATTAACAGCAAATATTTAATTAAATCGAATACTAATTTCGAAATTTAATTCGTGCAAACAATTAATTTTTGATAATAATCTCGAGACGAAAAAGACCCGAAAATGAAATTCAACGAAAAAATCCAATTACAAATCAGTCCAGGAATTTTTGGAATTTTAACGCGAATTTTATCATGGAACATATTCGCGCTTTGCCATTTGGAGAACGAGTGCTCTTCGCGCAACGTTTAAGTAATAATGCTTAACAACACGTGCTTTCGAAAATAATGTCGCCACTCGGATTTCGAAATAAATATTTCTTCAGGTGACACGAGTGCAAATACGGCCTTATGGGATTTGGCGAACAGGTCGAGCGCGTTCTACAATTTGCATAATCGAGAGATACTCCGCGTCCCGAAGAGACATTGTATTTCCTGGAAATGACAATCCTCGGCGCGAGAAACCGCGGTACTCTGAACCCGTTCTTGGCTCTCGATCACGTTTCGCGGCGATATCCAGACTCGCAATCTCGTAAAACTCTCGCGAGGAACGAACGACTTTGCGATAAAGACCGCGAACAGTCGTGATGTTTCCTTAACGAAAGAGGCCTCTCGACTCGTCGGAATAGCCCTGGTTCCGACCTTGCCGGGAAGCAAGGCTGCGCACCTTCGGTTTAACGCCGAGGCGCCGTTATGTTTTACTAATCGCAGCCTCAATTTCGCTACTGACTCAGAGCCGAGGTGACGATATTGTAATTATCGCGTCAGACCTAATAGCTGTTGATTATAAGGATTCCGCGTAAGCCGGCGGCTAGTTTACTCTGTTTTTTTTTTACAGTTGCACGTGGATTGACTATTTCACGCTGCATTTTTACGCGCCTAGAGAGAAAGAGTGGAACTGAGAGGGAGAGAGAGAAAGGTTTCTCGAACCGGACTGTCTTTTTTCGTTCGCCGTTAATACGCGCATCGAAAAAAAAGGCAGTAGAACTGTCGATCGGTAGGTCAATCGGTATTGCGTATTTGCACAATTGCACGCGAAGTGACGTACGGTCGACTTTGCATCGTGCCGGGAATCGCGAGAGCCGTGTCGCGATTATTTCACCGTGGATATCCTCGACATTGACAGACTCAACCTCGACGTCGTTTCTCCACGCGGAAAGTGAATCTTGGAAATAAACGTGGCGCAAAACACGTCTTATTGATTTATAGATAATCTCTTTCACAAATAATCCAAGATAAAGTAAACTAGAGATAACTTGTACTTCGCTAATACAACGCGCGTTTGTTACACCAAAGTGCATCGATTATCAGCGTTGCTCATCCGATCTCTCGGCGCACGGAGAATTCACTTCGAAACTGGATACTACTCAAAGCGATTTATATTTCGGGCAGCTACGCGGTGGACGTCAATTCCGAGGCGGGTTCAATCTGTACCAATTTACCGGCGTGTCGCTGTCACCCGCGGAACCTCCCGCAGGCTTGTTATCAAGGGCCCTGTCCCTCGAGCTGATCTGTCCGGGGAAGACTACGTGATCGGGATTGCCGTGATACTGCGTACCGACCTGTCCCAGGGCGAATCCGCTGCAGACGATCGCGAGGACGAGCATCCTCGCGACAGAATGCAGCGGCGACTGGCTGTCAAACAGCGGTTGCATTTTTTAGCGTGATGCCTGCCGATCTCTCTTCACTCCTCACGAAGCACGAGCGTCGACGCGGTCGTTACGTCGTTAATTATTATTAACGATCGCACTCGATTGTTATCGGCACCGATCGGCCTGTTCGATTCTCTCGCGGATGACTCGGCCTGTCGAGGTCGGCTTTTTGCTTCGGTATACGCGACGATGCACACCTGAGCGTATCCGAGTGCCCGCACTGCGATCGACTGATGAGGCCAACCCGTCCCGCGCTTACTTGTTGCCTCGCGCATAGGCGAGCGAGTGTGAGCGCTCACTCGCGCCGCGTGTCTCACGAATTGTCGTACGGCGGCGATAAGCGGCGTGACTTTTTCGCGGTATCGATAGGCGCCTACGAGCGCTTTTATGTGAACTTAAGATGAAGAAAGCGCGGCGCGCTATACTTTTCCGCGAATTGCACTTGTGACGTGATAAACACGAGCGATAAAATAGGTAAAATTAGGTGAAAAGACTCGATTGCTTATCGCGCTCTGTACTTGAGCGATTTTTCTCTTATACACGGAAGAAACTGATGTTGCTTTAACAGCATTGCGCCCGTTTCTACCAATGCAGATTAACTTTAATCTCGGTTTAAATTGCTTCTTATCTTTTTCTAATTCGTAAAACTAGAAAAAGATATAAAGTAAGTTGAACCGAGATTAAAGTCGAATTGCGTTAGTAGAAACGGGCATTAGATTTAATTAGAAATAATCCTGTTAACGCAGTAAAACAGTATATTGATGAAACAAAGACTTGTTTTAAAACGAGGGCACGACGTATTGAATTAACAAAATTATTTTCAATTAAACTAATGTGCTGTTAGTACAGCATTACAACAAGCTAACATTACTTGTCGTCATTTGTGAAAAATGTCATTTTGACACTATCTGAGTTTTCTTTCGTGTATTAATCTTTATTCCCGTGCCGTTGGGTAAGAGAAATAAGTTTCGTTCCTAAAATTTTCATTAAATGTGAATTAGATACTACATTTTGTTTATAAAAACTCGCATCTTCCGGCATCAGTTTTGTCAAAGTAAAAGAAAATGTAAATAGCTTTATTTGCGCGTCGATAATGCTTTACTTAAGAAACAAGTGGAAGATCTCAGGGTATCCGCGAGAGAGCACAGCCGTAATTTGCCATTACGTCAACTACAATTTAGAATAACTCAGATGTGCGATATAAGCAAGTACTTTTCAATACCTTGGTGAACAATGTGGGCGTTTACAATTTGCATATGAAGTTGACTTATTCTAACATTAATTTTCATAATGTTACACCTCAAGGTAACGATCGACGGGAAATCGTGATTGGCTAATGACGCAGATAAATCAGACGACGCTGTAAAGGTGAGAATATATAAAATGTTTTATATAGATAAACACAGCGTATTAGTGCGAAACAAAATCGCAGATATTTGGCCAACATTGATAAGCCGATAACGATAAAAATCTGCAATTTCTTGTTTTATAGTGATGTAAAGAATACACGGGGATAAATCTTGATCTCGCGAAACAATTCAGCAAAATTAATTCTTTTACTGAAGAAATAAATGTTATAGTTACAGCATATTTAGCAATATTTTACGACCGCATTATAAGCCACAATATAAACATAAGTTAATTTCTTTTTAGTTAAAATGTATAAAAGAGAAAGGCCTTGGCAGCACCATCCGACCGGCTGTGCACATTGCAATAGCAGAGAGAAGCCTGAGAGATGTCAGGGCCCCGTTTTTCGTGATTGGCGAATGCGATACGCCCTCTGTGGACATTGAAAACGTGGACATTGAACTACGTAGCCAATGTCCACATTTTGCCAAGTGGGTAACGCAGATTTGCGAAATTTTGGTTGCGTTTCGTGCTATAGTCAGGTCTTGTGCGATGCTCTTGTACTTAAGATTATTTTAAGTACAAGATCATTGCATGGGATCTAACCATAGCGCGGGACGGGGACTAAAATTGTCGTGGCATGTGATGCTCTTTCTACACCTAGGGATGATCCTACTTGTGGCTCATCCGATACCCCTTCTATACCTAAAGCTAATCCTACTTGCAGCTTATCCGAGGGAGTAGTATAAAGTGTAAAAGGGTACACTGTGGTTGTACGTTGGTACGATTGGAAACCTGCCACAGTGTACCCTTTTACACTTTATGCTACTCCCTCGGATAAGCTGCAAGTAGAATTAGCTTTAGGTATAGAAGGGGTATCGGATGAGCCACAAGTAGGATCATCCCTAGGTGTAGATCATCCCTAGGTGTAGAACGGGCATCAGGCTTCTCTCTGGCAATAGTTGGGTACAGTCGATAAGAATGTGGCTGATGATAATACATGGTAAAATCGGATATTAAAAATGGGCGCGAAATTTTCAAATTTAAAGCAACTAGTATTACATTTGGCGCAGGAAATATAAATTAATCCAATGAACAACATGATAAAGTTCATTTGTATGATGATTTAATATTTTAATTTAAGATAACTTTGGATTATGCGCTGACAAGATTTTTCCCGTATAGATGGCGCCAGAGATACGCATCGACTAGGGATTCTCTAGAAAGGGATCGGCATAACCGACGCCATTTGTGCCCACGATTTAAAAACTCTGTCCAAGTTCTAGTTTCGAGAAATGTGAGGGTGGAGTCCCATGGAGCGGAATACGCGGAAGCGGAATCAGCGGATCGCCAATCGCAAGATTATTCTGATAGAGCCCTTTCAAAAATTCCGTCGAAACGGTCTTGTGATTGGCGATCCGCTGATTCCGCTTCCGCGTATTCCGCTCCATGGGACTCCACCCTGATGCCCATTCTACACCTAGGGATGATCCTACTTGTGGCTTGCTTGAAAAAGTATTTCTTTGTGAAAAAAATAAAATAAAATTACGGCATCAGATGTTTCGTCAAAACTTGTATTCCGCAAAAAAACGTGGATACATATTTTAACAAAGTATTAAATAATTTTTATCTAAGTGATCTTTAAAGAAATTTTACGTACTGTATTGTGTTATTTTACAACTATTTTGTTACAATAGAAGTGGAATAAGAAATGGCATTTTTAAAATTTCGCGATTTCCTCACACGTATACCAAAAAATCGCGCGTCCATTAAAGACTTAGAATATAATGAAGTCCATGCTGAATATTTTATCCATTGTAATACATTTAAAATTAATTGCGATGCACTTATTAATGCGCGATTATTAAATCTCTGAAGATAACTCTAATCGTTTTGTGTTTTTCAGAGATCATTTTGATTCACTCACAATTGACTGGAAATAAACGTATTTTTAAATAATTGCTACACGCAATTGTTTATATTTCGTATGAAAACGTTTGAAGTGAAATTGAAAAGATTTGCGAGTCATTCGTTTATTTGTAATTAAGTAATTATTGTCCCACCCGGCTTTCAACCGAAATAGATAAATTAAACAATGTTTTTAGATTTTTAATTTTTTGTACAAGATTGTTCTGTTTACATCGGATAATAATTAAGTACGATTGTATTCTGATTAAATGAAACTTTGCATTTTTCTAGTTACAAATGAAATACCACCTCTCTCTTATGTTTAAATTAAAATGTTATCCGATAAAAACAGACCAACCTGTAGAGGCCCTCCACCACCCCCGCAGATTTCGATCGGCGGTCCTCTTTTCTTTACAATGTGATGTTTTACAATTTATTTCATACATTGCAGTTATAATTTTATCTATCTTTTTAATTGTCGAGTTATGTTTCCCTGTTCCTGCCTACCCATATTTTAATATACCTATGGTCCTACCTATCCATTTTTCTATTTACCCGCGTTTCAACTTAATAAACCTACAAGTCTTTCATTAAAACCGCGACGCGATTTATAAAAGGTCCGATTTGGGGTTATAATGCGCGCGCGATTAGGATTTAATCTCGTCAATCTCGCACATGCGAGAATATATATAAAGAATAACCCACCCAAATTTTGATAAATGAAAAGAAATCAAATTATTTCATTTATCACCTTATTTACATACTCAATCAGCGTGGTCAATATTGACCACTTACATCGTCGTATCCAGTCTTCTTTCGTTGGGCCAGATTGGACATACCTTTCGTTGCTCCTGGCCATACAGTCTGGTCATTTTGACCAGAGATCAGGAAGGAAAAGAACTCCTTCCATAGTCGGTTTGTTATCGTCACCGACAGATGTTACGTACGATTTGAATTATACACGAGCGTCGATCGTATCGAAAAATGCACGATTATGAGAAGTTAATTAAAAAAGGATTTTAAGTCGAAAAAATTTACTGCATAAATCTAATTAAATATATTTCTGCTTCCGTTATTCACTCTTCGTGGCTCGATCTTTGAATTCTAAATTCAGGTCTATTTACATAAAACATTTTACTTCGCGTTAAATTAATTTTAATTATATTTCGCGATAAATTTACATTTCTGATACAGATAAAATTAAAGAAGAACTAATATCGTAAAAACGTCTTTAAAAACCGATCGCGAAACCCGAACGCGAAACCCGAACGCGAAAACCGATCGCGAATGTATGACAATGCGTATGATTATGCATGTTATTCATGCAACACGCATCTTGAAAGTGTCACGAAATCTACGGAATAAATGACGTGAGATCCAAAATTAAAGAACTTTCTCGCATGATAGAGCGTGATATTGTAATTGGATATTATAGGTAATCAATAACTGCCAATAATGTATAATAATAATTAGAAATATTACAGCTTTCTCGACAAAACATTTAGGATCTCACGTCATATTATTTTATTTTACATGTCACTATGTTGATAAAATGGATAGGTTACAGTGATTAGCTGGACAAATACATCAATAAATTATTTGTCCTATTCGCGTAATTTTTGCGATGTGGTTCAACGATTTTTAACCTGGAAAATGAGCTCAATGTACCCCGCTGCAGGATTAGAATGAGTCCCAGATCTTCCGGATTGCCCCCGATAGCAGTCATTTCGGCAGAAAGTTAACGACGGTCGGTTTTTAAACATTGATTCGTACATTTTCACCATTGCAATATTCTTTACAATTTTATATGGATAATGATTTTTCATTAGTCCTTTTTTCTCTTTTCATTTTTTAAATCTCTTATTCTAAATTAATTTCGCGACTCGACGCGACTCGTGCCGAAACTACTACCTCCGGGGATCCGAGACGTAAGAGAAACCAGGAATTAATTCTGTTTCTGCAACGGGGCACATATCCCTTTACAGGGAAAATCGCGACCACTTCTCTCTTCGATAGATTAAATACATGTAATAGAATATAAAACTATGTTGTAATCTTTCCA